ACTGCATAAGCCACTTTTTCTAACAATGGGTAGCGCGTCTCGGCATCCGTCAGGGTGTGGCTGACGAAATAGATCGGCTGTTGAACTTTTTCTTCTTCCCTTAGCAGCACCGCGCTTACCGTGGCTGGACTGACCGCCACGTATAAGTATAGGATGTCTCCTACGACTGGCCTTGCCAGTGTTGGGAGTTGAGCCAGGTGTTCACGGAGCTGCTGAAAGGCTGACTTTTGTTCGTCTCCCCATTCAATGCCTTTTGAATTTTGGAGCTTCAGCGCCTTGAAGAAAGGGAGCCCTTTGTCTGAGGCTCGTGAGATGAACCTGGACAAGGCAGCCATTCTCCCGGCTAGACGCTGAATATCCCTTTTTGTCTTCGGCTCGGGGAGGTCTAAAGCAGCTTGTACTTTGGCGGGGTTTGCATCAATCCCCCTCTTGCTGACCATGAAGCCGAGGAACTTGCCTGACTTCACGCCGAAGACACATTTCTTCGGATTCAGCTTCATTTTGTATTTTCTGAGGGTGGCGAAGGTTTCGGCTAGGTCCGTGACATGATCTTTTTCTTTTATGCTTTTGACGATTGAGTCGTCAACATAAACCTCCATGTTTCGGCCTTTTTGCTCGGCGAAAACCTGATCAACCAACCTCTGATATGTTGCCCCCGCATTTTTCAATCCGAAGGGCATCATTCTGTAATTGTACAACCCGGAACTTGTTATGAACGCTGTTTTAGCTCGGTCCTCGGGGTGCATGAAGATCTGATGGTATCCCGAGAATGCGTCCATGAAACTGAGCAGAGCATGCCCGCTTGTCGAGTCGACCAGTTGGTCGATCCTCGGCAGCGGATAGGAGTCCTTGGGACATGCCCTATTCAGGTCCGTGAAGTCAACGCACATCCTCCAGTTACCATTTGCCTTCTGAACCATTACAACATTGGCCAGCCACTCCGGATACTGACAGGGTTCAATGAACCCAGCATCTAGGAGCTTATCGACCTCAGCTGCGATGTTCTGGTTCTTTTCGGCGGAGTAGTTCCGCTTTTTCTGCTTAATGGGTCGACTGGAGGGGTCGACATTAAGCCTATGGGAGACGAAGTCCGGATCAATCCCGGGCATTTCTGCGGCTGAGAAGGCGAACACGTCTCCACTGGCCCGTAGGAGTTGGACGAGTGCCGCACGGGTGTTTGGCTCCAGTGACGACCCGATGCTAACACATCTGTTCGGATCTCCTACGGTCAGTTCTATTGACTCGGTCAGGTCATCCGTCTCCATGCTCTTAGAGTTGGATTCCTCGAATTCCGGCCTGCTATCAATATTAGCAGACTTTCCTGACCGCGGCTGGCCATCAGAGTCGTTCGGCTCTGAGGCGGAGTCAGCCTTTTGGCCCCCATCAGATTTCTCGTTGTCTGGGGCTTCATTAGCCGAAACGTCTGAGCCTCTCGGCTTTTTGGCGTTTCGGTCCCGGTGCTTTTCCTCCCCATCGCCACGGTCGCCTCGGCGAGACGTGGATGGCTTGAGGTGATTGCATCGGCGGGCTTCTTTTTGACTGCCCTTTATTTTCTCGGAGCGTCCCTCGTCTGAAACGTATATCATGATTTGATGATACGTGGAGACGACTCCTTGAATGCCGTGAATGAGGGGTCTCCCCATGATCACGTTGTATGCAGATGGAGCATCTACGACCAAAAATTCGGCCATGATATTCCTAGCTGCTCGGCCTTCGCCGATGGTGACAGGAAGTGTAATCTTCCCGTCAGGATACGAGGAAGAGCCGTTGAATCCAGACACCGGGTAGGGTGCGGGGGCCAGGTGCTCGGCTCCCATCCTCAGCTGGTCGAACGCTCCTCGGAAGAGGATGTTCGCCCCGCTACCGCCGTCGACGAGGGTCCGCCAGACGTTGCGGTTGGCGATGCCCAGAATGATTACTAGTGGGTCATCGTGGGGGTATACCACCCCCTCACAGTCTTCGGCTGTGAACAGGATGTTCGGCGCCGGTGACTGGGACTGCCGAAGCTCAGCCTGATGAATCTGATGGGTTAGACCCCTCAGTTGGCGTTTGGCTGTGCCTCGCGAGATTCCCCCGGAAATAACTAGGATGTCGAGGGACTCCTTGCCCTGAGGTCCCTTATCCTTCTTCCGAGCGAAGTTGAGGTCCTGCCGAGAATCTTTTTCAGCTTTTTTCTCCTCGCGCCTGTCCGCGAGGTATTGGCTCAGGTACCCCTTGCGGACCAGATCCTCAATCTGGTCCTTCAGCTGGACGCAGTCCTCGGTGCGATGTCCGGGTGAGTCATGGAACTCGCACCACTGGTCCTTTCCCCTCGTCTGATGCCAGGGAGGCAACGGACGAGGTTTTTTGAATCTCCCCTCGTCCTTCGTCGTGCTGAAAATCTTAGCACGGGGAAGGGAGAGTGGAGTGTATGAATCGTACCTTCCCGTGTAGGGAAAGTGTCTTTCCTTCTTCGGCTCGGCAGCAGAGGACGGTTCTGAGGCCTTAGCCTTCCCTTTCCTCTGCGCCGAGACTTCGGGCTGCTGCCCTTTCGGCTTCTCAATTCTCGGACGAGACTGAGACCTGGATCTGTTCCACTCCTCGGCTCGGATGAACCTATCCGATGCTTCCAAGGCTTCCTCCAGGGTCTGCGGGGGATGCATGACCATGAAGTCCAGGAACTTTCCAGCTTGGAGGCCGTTCCGTAGCGCGAACACGGCCAGGCCTTGATCCAGGCTTGTGATTCCGGATGACTCGTTGCTGAAGCGAGTCAGATAGTCGCGGAGGCTCTCGTCCTCCGCCTGCTGCAGACTCATTAGCTCTGCAGTGGTCTTCTCTCGGCGGTTGGCCGTAGAGAATTTGCTCTTGAACTTGTTGGAGAGGTCGTTCCAACCGGTTATGGAGCCTTCCTTGAGCCCTTTGGTGATCCAGGATTGGGCAACACCTTTGAGGGTCGTAGGAAAGTATTTACACCAGGTAGCCTCAGACCTCGGGTTCAGATACATGTGCCCCTCGTAAGAGGCAATGTGATCCTTAGGATCTGAGGTACCATCGTAAGTAATATGTGCCGGGATTTTGACCGTTGGCACATGCTCTTCCAGAATCCACTTCTGGAAGGGCGAGTTCGATGGAACCATGACCGCCTTCCCCTTGTACCCGGCCTCAGGGACCTCGCTCCCTCCTCTCTCAGAGGTGGAAGTGGTTTTCGTCCCCGGCTGAGACAAGGTTGGGTGGGGTCCGGTATCCTCTGGGAAGGTGAGGCGGCTATGCACACTCACCTCCCTCGAACCCAAGCGTTCGTGAACGCTTTGGCGGGCGAATTCCGGGTCCTTGGAGGGCCCCATGGAATTCTGAGCTTCAGAGTGGTCAGAGGGTTGAGGGTTCCTCCTCCTCTCCTTACTGGAGTTTCGGGTGTCCCCTCGCCACCTCTGGCCGAGCTCTCTATGTGGTGGAACTTGTCCACCATCATCCTGACCGATCCTCCTTTTCAGGTTTCTCGGCTGGTGATCATCAGGCATCTGGATTGGAGCCCCTTGAGCTTTAAGGAACTCCATGCAGATGGCCACTGCTCTGGCCACTTCCTCGGTGGAGGGTCCGGAGGGAGGAGTCTCCCGCGGATGTGACCTGGATTGCACGCTATGGCGCGGCGGGGAGTTCCTCGCACCTGAGCCACTCGGTCTCGGGGATGGCCCCGGCTGCCGAGTGTGGTGCGAGGTGTTCTCCTCCTGGAGGCTAGGACCTCTTGAGGCTTCCCTTTCCGGAGAAATGGGGGCCTCCGATTCGGAAGAGGCTTGCTCCGGGGAGGGATAAACCGGCTGGCGTTCCCTCACCGTAATCCGGCCTCCTCCCTTCTTAGCCTTCTTGGAACTCTTTCCACTCTTAGTCATGGCGACTGCCGGAGTGTTTGATGACTGACGCGAAATTTAGTAGCGTTCCCCACAGACGGCGCCAAATTGTTTCGGATGAAAACAATCGAATCTCGGAAGATCCTTTTATCTTGAGGGAACTTGGTCTCGGTCCGAACGACGCAGGAGCCGAGGGTTTCCTGCACAACAAATACACGTAAACTAGCCTCGGGGGGGACGCCGAGGAAGGCCCCTCCGATGCTTAAGTCAGTATATTAGAGAGAGAAAGCTGTGCAAGAGTTTAGTTGCTTGAGGCTTTATTGTCTTACCAAGAATTGACCAAATTGTTGGCTTTTATACCTTGGCTAATGAAGGAGGCGGATTGGGCCCGGAAGTCAGTTGGGCTGGGCCAAGCTGATTGGGCCGTTGACTGACCTTGACATGGCTTTGAGGATGTTGATTTTTGACTTTAGCACATTTGGAGAGTTGAACCTTAACCTTGGGCTTTTAATTGGATCATTCAGTGACCAGGCCCAATTGGACTAAATTGGACCCAAACATAAGCTATCTTGAGCAGCTAAAACAAGGAAGAATATGGCTCAACCACAACTGAATCGTTCATCACAGAAACAAGTAGCTGACGGAAGAAGTTCCACTTCATCATGATCTTGATCGCTTCAACCTTCCAAGGAAAAAGAGTAACTATGGTCATTTCATTACAATAGACAAGATAATTGTAATACTCATCATGTTAGTTATGCTAGATGCAATGTTGGTATGATGTATAAATGTGTCTTTAGCCTGCGAGATGGCTATAGGCTAATGGTAGTGGGTGTTTTGTAAGTTAATGTAAATTAATGTCATTATACATTACAGAGTATTCTTTTATATACTACACACCTTTTTGGCAAGTATTTTGAAGGAGAAATTAAACATTATAAATAGACAAATTAATCAAAATAATTTATACACTTAGTACTAAACCCATTGCACAGAGAAAAGAAAAAAAAAAGGAAATAATATAAATTAATATTATTATATACAAGTATTCGGAGTATACTTCTTTTGTTTATTTTTTATATGCAATAAACCTTTTTAACAAGTATTTTAAAGGAGAGATTAAGCAAGAAAAATGGTCAGATTAATCAAAATAATTTATACACTTAGTACTTAACCCGTCTCTAATCTTCGTGTTTAAATTATTGTGATAAAGTCGCTCATTCACCTACTCTAATCAACTGCTAAAAAAGCGTGCCAAAAAAGTTTGTTGCATTTTAAAAAAAACGAAGGAGGTACAAAGTAAATGGTTTGTTTGTAAATAAGGTTTCATTTGTGTTACCAAGTGAGAAGTGACACATTCATGATCAAGTGGACTTAAGTATTGACCCTTCTATTGGTATTGAGCTGCTTACAGACTTTACAGAGTGCAATATGGTCACTAATTAGTCTTCAATAGTACCTCTTTTGGACCGCAAAAACCTGGTTTAAATTGCTTTTTTTTTTTTTCCTTTTTTTTCTTTTTGGGTTGATTAAAAGCTTAAATTGCTCCAAATCACTAAATTATGCGATTTATTAAATGCTTAAACATGCATTGGATGCCACATAGCAGCAATTCTATGCAATTATAGTATTATTCAACAGACCGTACCTGTAAGAATCACCATTTATGTGCAGGAAAGGTGGTACAACTATATGCAGTCCATGAGTACGAAGTATTTCAGTTAGCATCAGTTTTAGGCTAAATCACTCAAAATCGCCCTAGGATCCATTGATCTGAGTCCAAAAAACTTCCTCATTCAGGCAATGTTATGACTTGGATACACAGTTGGAGAAAGGTATGCCATAGTGCTTGTTATTATGCCTTTATTTACTGTTAGGCACGATAATACATGATTTGCTATATGTGAATAGCACGAGGATTAGGATGATAGTTAAAGATGAGAACATTTCAACAGTGTTACATATAACACACTTGCATCAAAAGGAAATAATTATGCATGCATATCAGGATTCTTTTCCCTTATCAATAAAATGTCAACCTAAATCTTCATTCCGTACTGATAAAAAGTAAAAACTGAAAGTAAATCATACCTTATCAGCTTCAGATTTTTCTCACTTTTCTATAGCAGAGAGCCAGAAAGTTGAGAAGGTAAAAGTATAACATTCTAGATAGACCTCACTACTCTCATCAGATTCCTCCAATCACAGCTGTTAGACTAACAGTACTTGCAATTTTAAAACGAAAAAAGGCAGAAAAAAATAAGAAGCCAAAGCAGCTTCTGATTTCCTCATATCTCGAAAATATCTGGAACAACTTGAACTGAAAGGCCATTTTTCAGGAATCTATTCTTCAGTGAGGGAAATGCTCAACTGTCTGAAGAACAAAACTTAGCATAAGAAAAAGTGTCATTTTGCCCACAGGAAAATACCATAGACACTGCCGTACTTTCATAGAAATCATTACACGTTTCCATCGCCACATTCCTAGTTGATTCTCAAGCAAATGTGAGGCACAAAAACAGACTTGCTGACCATTGTAAACAGCAGCATAGGAATATTAGCCACAAATCAATCAAAATTTTATCCAGACAATGATTTAGAATAATCCTGAACAGTTAACTCACTCGCCTAAAATGACAGCTATAAATAGATCCTCAAGGAAGCACAAGTCATGCAAAGTAAAACTAGCACAAGAAACAATTTCTAAAAAAACCATCAACATATTACAATTTACACGGTTCAGGTAGCAGCAATGGAGGTTGTGAGGCAGCTAGCCAATGAAAAGCCACTAGTGATTCTCAGCAAAAGCTCTTGCTGTGTTTCTCACTCAATGAAGCAGCTTATGAGCAGCTATGGAGCCAATGCAACAGTATATGAGCTTGATGAAATGCCAAATGGAAAAGAAATCGAGAAGGGTCTCCTGAGCATGGGAATTAAGCCAAGTGTCCCTGCTATTTTTATCGCCCAAAAGTTTGTTGGCGGTTCAAATGAAATCCTTAGCCTCCAAATCCAAGGGAAACTGGTGCCTATGCTCATAGAAGCAGGAGCCATATGGATTTGGAATAAAACATCCACTAAGTAGATTTTAGTTTAAAGACATTATTCTGAATCTCTTTCTTTTATATGAGATGAAGATATTAATTGAACAATATAAAACAATGCCAGTAATAGAATCACTTTCAGTTGTAAGGAGCTCTCTCAGTTTTATTGCATACTTGTATAAATAAGAATCTACCCTAATCCTCATAAAATGAGTTAATTAGCATAATGGTATAATGTAATCTCTTTCATTTGTAAAAAGTATTTGTTCTAATTTGTGATAAAAAGATCTGCTCTTTTAACAGCTGAATGTGAAATAATCAAAAGGGCTTGTCATCTATCTTACAGATTTTGAATTTAAATAAATCAAGATCCTAAACTCTTGAACCAACAGTGAAAGGAATACCAAGTCGATAAATATAATGTAACCCCTACACAGCCCTCAGGAAGAACTCACATAGATAATAGCATGGGATATGCATATCACAAATTAGTCCAGTCCAATCCGAAACAAAATTCAATCCGATCCAATCCAGTTTAGGATTTAGTAGTTTGGATCTTATCCTGAATCTTTACTAAAAACACTACCTTTGATTAATGGCCTGTGGCTCCTTTTTTTTAATAGGGCGATAATATAAAATCACAAATTATCCCAACATTGGCTTACAATTTCAGAATGTCTTGAAAGCAGTGTACATGCTAAGAAATTACAGGTAAAGGGCTTAACTCTGTCAATCCGTTCCAATCTGAATTCCAATTTTTTGACAAAGTAATTCAATCCGATTCCATCCCATTTCTCCCGACATTCCTAGCATAAGCAAATCAAAAGATTTTCTAGACTTCACATAATTAAACCTCTCCAGTACCTCCGTGATGAAGTGTAAATGAAAAGCACTACATTTCACATCAAAATATTTTGGTTTGGAATAGATTGAATCTATCCGAATAGCGAACACTCGAATTTCAACATTCAAAGCCACTCAACGCTTGATGAGTTGTAGATTAACGGTGATAAAGACTTTGTTTCGTTCAGTTTATTATATGCATTTTCCTTTTCCTAAAATTATCTGATTTTATTTTAACCTAATTGTGTCTAGTGTATAACAAAGGAAAAAAAAAAAAAAAAAAAAAAAAAAAAACTTTTCTGATTCTAAATTGTCTAATTTGTGAGACATTTTATCTGAAATTTATCTAAGCTTGTTTTGTTTAAACTTCTCTTAGCTTATTTTCCCTTAATTGAGCTTTTCATCTTATTGAACTTATTTGAGTTTATTTAAACTTATCTAAAATTATTAGACCTTACATTAACTTGTTTGAACTTATTTTGTCTATGGGGTTATATTGACATATCTGAACTTATTTCGTCGAAAATAGTTTAATAAATCAAAATAAATTAAAATATGAAACAACCAGACCTGAAGTACAAATCAGCAAATATGAAAATTCTACCAATTGCACATTAAGCGGTAGATTCTAATTTCTATGGAAAAGGATCACTTGTTCAGAAGTTAACTAACATTAGCATGTATGACACAGCAATCAGACCTACCCAGGTAAATGGCAGGGAAAAAGCAGCATAACTACTTTAATTTTAAATATCAAACTATAGTTACCTACTTATAACAGCATTAAATAGTGAATCTATTACCATTTAGCAATACAATAAGCATATGTTTATTACTTAATATCTCCCCCTCCCCACAGCCTTATCCTTCAAAAAAGTAACTGGTAACCATCTGTCTAGTACTATAATTGTACTTGTTACAGATGTCAGGAAAGAATAAATGACAATGCATATCGCCAGCTTATATGCTCTAATTAGTCTCTCTTTCGTATGAATAGTCACAAATACTATTGTAAGATGTCTGAAATAAAGATAACATCCACAAAATAGTTGTACTCCATCCCAAAATTATTGGTCACATGACATGACTACTGTATCGATTAGCAGATTGCATTCCCGCTAACTTGAAACTTAAACATACCAGTATATATTGACCCTTATCGATGAAGGATATCAGATCTGCTGAACTCCAGGCATCACTGGGAACATATTGACTTCTTACTAACATAAAATGCTACAAGCCCACAGCAGCTGTAAAACTTGATCAGCCAGCCATCTGCAAAACCATACATGCCAAGATGGTGATGGAAGATAAAACTTATGTAAGCTTATTGATCAAATCTTTACTCGCAATCAAGCATCATCCTGACTTATCTAAAGATAACTACTAAAACCTACAAAAATGTGCATGATAATATGATAGAATCAAAATTCTTCACAGGACACTTTGTAAGGCTATGAAAGGTTGCTCAGACTTATCTGTTACATACTTCAGTCATTGGGGAAGTATCACAGCAGTTAGCTAAGGTTTAGTTTTCATTAACATAAACACTTTCAACTTCAAGAAGTTATGTAAGGGTATAAAACATGCAAGTACAGCACCAAATCTCAACTTATCCTCCAGATGAACATTTTTTCAAATTGACTTGTGAATGAGTTCAGCATCTAATACACCAGTACCACCAACAGTACATATCTATTTAACTAATTGTATGTACCAAAATATTTTCCTTTCAAGATTGGACCTATACTAAATTGTAAGGTAAAGTTGTTCATACTTCATCTCAGTTACTGCAAATTTTCTTCATTATCACTGAAGGGCCTTAAAGACCTTTGGAGAGATTCCTTAGACCAACAAGATCCCTTTTATTAAAGCCCTAATGAAAAGCTACAGACATTTGTAGCATAAACAAATCAAAAGATTTTCTAGACTTCACATAATTAATCCTCTCTAGCACCTCCGTGATGAAGAGTAAATGAAAAGCACTACATTTGACATCAATTATTCAGGAAACAATGTATGAATTCAATCATAGAGCTATAATCTTTCAGAATGACATTTTTCTCTTCACTGGTCTTCCAATCACGCTCTTGGATTGACTTGCAGCAATAATCATGTAGGAATAATTTACATCAATAATCATGAGGGCATTTTAGGATTTGTTACCTATTTCATTTGAATGTCAACCTAATCTTCAATCTGTACCAAATGGAACAGAAATAACTACAGAATATCAGATTATTAGTTTTAGATTTTTCAGTAAACTTTTCAGGATATCAATCTCTCACTTTTCTAAAGCTTAAAATCAGAAGCAAAGGTTTAACATTCTAAATAGATTTCACCTCTTCATCCATCTCATCAGATTCCTCAAAAGATAGCTGTAAGAATAACAGTAATTATATTATTTAAAGCAATAGTCAGGTAAAGTAAATAGGAAGCCAAAGCAGCTTCTAACTACAATCCTCATAGCTCAAAAATATCTGAAACAACTTGAACTGAAAGGCCATTTTTAGGAATCTATTTTAAGTATGAAAATGCTCAACTGTCTGAAGAACAACATTCAGCATAAGAAAAATTAGAATTTTACCACTGTACTTTTGTGGAAACTATTAGAAGTTTCTATCGCCATATACCTATTTGATTCTCAAGAAAAAACATGTGAGGCACAGCAACATACTACTTGACCTTTGTAAGCAGCAGCATAGGAATATTACCTACAAATATAATCTTTTTTTTTTTTAAAGGCAATGACTTAGAGTAATCCTTAACAGTATTCTCTTCAGCCCATGACCTATAATGACAGCTATATATAGACCTCGTAATCAAAACAAGTTCTGCAAGGAGAAGCCAAGCTAAGCTTTAAAAACAAACCATCAACATTTCCGATTTTTAAAAGCTCGGGGTAAAGGCAATGGAAGTTGTGAAGAATCTAGTGAGTGAAATGCCGCTAGTGATCTTCAGTAAAAGCTCTTGCTGTGTTTCTCACTCAATGAAGCAACTTATGAGAAGCTATGGAGCCAATTTAACAGTATACGAGCTTGATGAAATTCCAAATGGGAAAGAGATTGAAAAGGGTCTTTTGAGCATGGGAAATAAGCCAAGTGTGCCAGCTATTTTCATTGGCCATAAGTTAGTTGGTGGGTCTAAAGAAGTCCTTAGCCTCCAAATCCAAGGGAAATTGGCGTCTCAGCTCTTGGAAGCAGGAGCCATATGGGTTTGAAATAGTACATAACCAAAGACTTCATTTTGAGCCTCTTTCTTTTACTGTACAAGACTACAAGGTAACAAGATTAGAAATCAGTTAGACAATATGATGCTGCTAATGTAATCACTTAAACTAACGAGGAGCTTCTCTTCTACTTTCTCTGCAAATAAAGATGTACCCTACTATTCATTTGAAAATAAAGATGTACCCTACAGTGTCCACTAATGGAATCACTTTCATTTAAAAATGGAGAGCACTACAATTTATTGTGAAGCATCAAAAATGGTGTGCTTGCTAATCTATCATTTTTTTTTTTTCAATAAGCACACAACAGACTTTTTTAGATCCTGAAGACAATCACTAAACAAAAAAAAATCATTTCTATGATGATTATATGGAGCTAACAATTAATAATAGCCCCAATACCTTTCAGAAATCACAAAATATTCAGGATATTTTTTGTCACTTGTCAAGAAGTCACAAGAATATAGACTAATTAGCTGAAATACAGTGCCAAAAAACAAATGTAAAACATACCTTGGCACCAATATGTTGACATCAGTTTGCATGTTCCTAATTGTTTTCTCCGCTCAAAACTGAAGAACTTATATATAGTACGAATAAAATGCTCATCTCAGTAACGCCAGAATGGGGTAGTTCAATTTATTTCAATTCAGAATTACACGCTGTCAAGGATCAGCAAATCTCATTGCAAGATCTTAATATCAATAAATGACGATCCTTCATGTAAAACCCTAACAAGATACTACAGACTTTTTCAGAATTGACAATTTAAACACATTCCAAGACTTTAAACTATGTATAGATTCCTATCAAAACTCCACGTAATCTTTCACAACACCACTTTTCTCCAATAATGCTCTCCTTTGCCAATTCTTCACTGCATTTTTAAACATAGCATTTGCATCATGTATTTCTTTATCTGTAAATTTATGCTCCACAATTCCTACTGGCCCAGGCTGCAGTACCCTTATTACAGTTTCCACATCTTGCTCCAGCTTCCTGATAATAAAGAAACACTACTTAAGTAGTTGCAAGACAAACTACTTAGTATGATCAACAAGCTTTCACCAGATATTAGAAAGTTAAGGGAAAAAAAAAAACACTAGTCAAACTACATGAGAGCAAGTCTAGGTCAATTGAGAAGAAAATATTGGCTTCTTTTCGACTAAGTTTTCAATGAGAGAGGAGAGCCCAAGTACACAGGTGAGAAAAGTAGAATGAAGGAGATATTTCCAAAGCATCTGCCTGAGATGAACGCAAGCATTTCAGGCATAGGCCTCCCCACCCAAAAACAAAATCTCGCTCTTTCCTTTCTTTGGTGCTTCCATTTTCATTCAAAGGGATGGAGTTGAGTTTACACGAACTTTTTTAAAGATGACCCAGAAAAACTCATAGGTTAATTAAGAAGAAAATGCTGGCCTCTTTCAAATAATACTTATTGAATATCATTGCTGAACGATTGGCAACTTTTCAGAACAGAATATTTGTTTCATTCAAATGATTCAATCAAGCTCTTTAAAAACCCAAAGCATAGGACCAATTAAATCTAATTTGAGAACATAGGGAGATGTTTGTTGACTCCGATTAAAAAGAAAGAGAAAAAAAAAATAAAAAAAATAAACAATATCTATGTTTTAGACTTTTAGGCTTGTAGAAGAGGGATTGGAAAGACAAGCAAATAAGATAATAAGTCCAGCAATTACAACCTCTGCTGCGCAGAAGCTGGCCACTCAGTATACTGTGTGCATAGAAAAGCTCTTAAAGTTTGTAACTACTGCGAACTGGGATCGCTCACCAGCTATACAATGATACAGTAGGAGGGATTAGATCTAAAGTGCCCTAGTTGTCATTTTGAAATTTAAAATCAGCAGCTTTGTGACACTACCGAATCCTAAGCCTCTGCACACTCATCTCTAAAGATTGTTGTTTCAATCTACATTACTAGATTATACCAGAAACATCCGGCTAATAAGCACATTTATAAATATAATTATACCAACTCTCATTGAATTAAGGTCAATCATAACGTCCATCCTCAAGAAGGTCGATAATTAGCTTAAATACTTATAATCCTAGCAAATACGTACAAATTTCATTCTATTATCTCCTCACATAAATCATCAAGAATTTCCCAGATTATAGATATATGACCATTCAGCTAGCAAAGTATAGTGACAAAGGTGGGAAGCACGGCCACTGGCAGCCGAAATTTCCCAACAAAAATAGTGTTACACCAATGCCATACAAGGAATAAAAATTAATAAATATTACTCCGTATTACATCATAGTCAAAAAGCAAGATAATGTACTGGAGAAAAAAAAAATAAGGATAAAGGACAACACCTCAAAATCCAAATAAAGGGTAAGGATTTTCCGAGCTTAGTGAAAGACATTTGATTTTTGTTCTTTCAATTACTTAGATTTTCAGCACTAACAATGTTGGAGGAAAAAAAGAATTATGACTTCAAACCTGTCACTAACAAATCCAGAATCTCAATAAGAAATATACGACGACAATAGATTACACACAGTTCTGTCCTAACATTAAAGGATTATATGATATAAACAAAAGCTTCCAACACATAAGCAATCAAATTTGATTCAATCATCAAATTAGGTTCGAATTAAATTCTAGTTTAAGAATATGAAAAGCAATATTCTAGCAACGAAATCGATTGTTATAATCCTTCATAAGTTGTTAAGAGTAATTGTAACCAATAGTTGAATAATCCAGCTTAGAAGAACCCTAAATTGACTATACTGATAATCAAACTAACGATTAACATTAGATAATAGAGAATCCTTACACACAATTTAGAATCAGAAAAGTTTTTTTTTTTTTTTTTTTCCTTTGTTATACACTAGACACAATTAGGTTAAAATAAAATCAGATAATTTTAGGAAAAGGAAAATGCATATAATAAGTTGAACGAAACAAAGTCTTTATCACCGTTAATCTACAACTCATCAAGCGTTGAGTGGCTTTGAATGTTGTAGCCAATTTTTATAGAAATTGAAATTCGAGTGTTCGCTATTCGGATAGATTCAATCTATTCCAAACCAAAATATTTTGATGTAAAATGTAGTGCTTTTCATTTACACTTCATCACGGAGGTACTGGAGAGGTTTAATTATGTGAAGTCTAGAAAATCTTTTGATTTGCTTATGCTAGGAATGTCGGGAGAAATGGGATGGAATCGGATTGAATTACTTTGTCAAAAAATTGGAATTCAGATTGGAACGGATTGACAGTTCGTGAAGTGCAATTACTAGATATATAATAGATCAAATTATGGAGAAAATTAAGTTCGTTCTTTCGGGTCGTCATTATATCATAGCTAGAGGTACTAATGATCTTTAGGCAGGTAAAATAGGCTAAAACCCAATTGAACGGATCTTATAAGGTCACACAAAGGGCATCGATTGAGCATAAGTGAAAGAGGCCCATGATGGGCCTCGTCACTCTAGGTGGCCGGCCATGAGGTGGAGTTTGGAGGGCTTTAGGCTTTCTAACCTAGTCTAGTTATAATAGGATTATAAAAAGGCTAGGTGCCTAGGTTTTCAGTAGAACAGTTTTACTGTTAATTGAAACCTGAGTTAGCAAACACGAGACCCAACCCTCTCAAACTTCCCTTTCTCTCCCTCACGGCTCTCTCCTCCTCCTTGGCGCCGGTTGTGTAACACCCCCAAATCTCCCTCTACGGAATACCAGTATAATATGTATAATTAAACCGTAGAGATAGACTTAGGCGTAATACCGCCGCGTGATTACGCAAGGCTACCAAAACTACTAATCAAAACCAATACTTTGCAGCGAAAACTCAAACTCTTAATTTCTTTATTAATAATAGCTATAAATAGAAATCATTGTCATGAGTACTCATAAATAAACAAAGACCGACATTCCTAATCTGGGTGAAGAACATCCCGGGACTCCCATATGCTCAAATATTGACTCCACCTGAAAATAGTCAACACTGCTTACCTTTAAGGTAAACAGGGCAAATCAAAACAAATAGGAAATACGATTTAGCAAAATATGCCAAGTATGATCAGTGCAAGATAAGTAAATTCAATTTATTTGCAAACATGTTTTTAAAACCAATTCCAATGTTAATCCAATAATTTCAAAACTCATGGTTTCAAACCAATTCTCAATATTCTCAAAACAATTCCAATAACTCAATAATTCAATAAAACGATTTATAAAACCAATTCCTCCTTTTAAAACCAATTACTCTTTTCAAAACCAATTCCTCTTTTTAAAATCCAATTCTTTTTTTTTTAAAACCAATTCCCTACCCAAATGTGCACACCCCCCAAACTAGTCTCCTACTATTTCAAGGCTATTCTTGAGGAAAGACTCGGTCATACAAAGTTCAAAGTCTTATCTACTAAATTCGCATAGTGGGATTACTATCAACATGCTTGTAAAGCTTTAATAATAAAAATTCAATAAAATTATTTTCCAATTTCAAAATTCCAACATAATTCAAAACTCCTTTTATTTGCTTTCAAAATCAAACCTTATTATTGACTTGAAATTACTTATATTGAGCTTAAATTATTTTCACTGAACTCAAAGTATTTTTACCAAACTAAAATTATTTTTACAAATTAAAATTTATTTTATTGATTCTCTATTATTTTTTTTATATAAATTAAATAAAAATGCAATTTTTTTGCGGCTAGCCACACCATCTGGCCGGACAAACCCATATAAAACTAACCGAGTAACCCTTGTAATACTAACTGAGTAACCTCTAACACTGACTAAGTAACTCCTATCTATAACACTGATTGAGTAACCACTATGACACTAACCAAGTAACCCTATAGCACTAACGAAGTAACTCTTATAATAGTTGGTGACACAGTTTGACCAGCTACATATAAAAGTTTGTGATTAAATATATTATAAATGGATCTTATTTCAAAGAACTTTTTAAAACGAATTTGATGATGGAAATAGAATTGAGTTATAGGATATTTATAAAAAGTTATGATCAATTTTGTACATATGAAATTTTAGAATTCTATCGATAATAAAACTCTATACAATAATTTTATCTTAAAAATCTATCCAAAAATCGCTTACTTAGCATCATACGTGTCACAATAATACCTATTTATTGCCTACGTGGCGCGACACTTGGCGAAAAATTGGAATGCCAAGTGTCACTGTCTCGTTGCCTGGCTGCGAGATCGACTTAATTTATTAGTAGTATGTAGGAATTACTAGAATGAGAAATGAGAAAACCACTAATCCCTTGACACATCATCTAGGTTTAAAATTCAAATTCCCTCCTCTTTTTATTCTTAATTTTCTCATATTTTGACAATGACATGTGTTAGGATATTATTAGCTTTCTCATTTTCTCATTTCTCATTCTAGCAAAACCCATTATGTATATATAAACATATTTGAGGCTTTTTTTTTTTACTTCTTTTTCTTTCTCAATTCATACATTATACAACTGGTTATAACTTATATCTTTAGTTCAAACCCACATCATTCTATCTCCTCCAAGGACATGCATAAATGTTGGATAAATTTCACGGCGAAACAAGGTTAAAGAAAATCTATCTATCTATATATATACTAAAACAGAGGGCACTGCAAGCAAACTTGACACATATCGCTATCTCATTGAAAAATTTCGCCCTTTTTTCGCAATCCTAAATAAAGCAATTTTAATAGTATATGTATACGATATCTTTTTATTTCCTATAAAATCTTAGGAATATATTTTTGGTTTAAGAAATGAAATTTACCTAAATAAATTACAATCATATATATTTGACAATAATATATAATCATATATAATATAATACTCTTATTTGACAACAATATATAATCATATATAATATAATATTCTTATTTAAACCAATAATATATATACTAAAATAATTTGAAGTATTGTCAAAATATTTTGGCTATTAGGTAACCATTTAAAATTTCTAAATGATTATAAATAAAAGAATATTACTACAATACTAAGATAGTAAATTATTTGCGTTACTTTTGTTTTTAATGATTTTTTTTATTCTTTTTACTACTAGACTCCATTCTCTTCATCAGATATTTATTATGTATGGTACTTTTATTAAATTGATTACAAATGGATAACACAAACTTTCATATGTGGTTGGCCACACCGTGCGGCCAACTATCATAGCGATTATTTCGTTAGTGTTACAAGGGTTACTTGATCAGTGTTACAGGAATTACTTTGTCAGTATTATAGGGGGTTGATCGATAAGTATTACAGAGGTTTTACTTGATCAATGTTATCGGAATTACTTTGTTATTTTACAACCGATCACATGGTGTGGCTAGCCGCACACAAAACACACTAAATTGATAAAACGACTAAATAAAATTAATGTTATAACATGCTTATTAAATTGTGGAAAACAATTGAGCTATTCCACTTTTTGTACCCCTTTATTATAACATTTTTCAATAGCATATAACATTATATTCGGGCTATTAGAATTGTACTTGCATTGGCGATTGGGACATGGGGTGGGTTACAGGTATGGGTTTATGATTATTGTATGTACCTACAAACATAAAAATCATATTAAAAATATATATAACCAGCTTGATGAGGAGATGAATTATAATCGATTACTCTTGGAAGAATATAGATTGAAACACTTTATTTTTTTGATACATTAATAAATTTCGAAGTTATAAATTTATATATTGCAGGAAAGAAATAGAGTGTGATTTATCGTAGAATGGACCAAAACATAGAAAAGGTAGAATTTCAAAGATTAATGGGAGTTACTTTGTAATTACCTAATATATCGAGACTTTGTAATTTACTTTAATTTATATTGAACTACTATTTACGTAGCATTAATGTTGTATTGATATACAGATGATTGAGATGTGATTGGTTAGAATAAGAATATTACTGATAATATTTTATAGGGTTGATATGTTATTGTAACATACTAATAAATAATTAAATAGCATTAAAGAATCCATTAATACTCATTAAATAAAATAGAATTTTGAATTTTGGGAAAAATTAATAAAGTGAGATTTTTAAATCGTGTCATTGCACGGGTTTTATACTAGTGGGTATTCTAATTGGAGAGCAAAAGTATAGATATTTATATTTAGTACTCCCCCCGTTTCATAATATTAGTCCCATATGGAATCAATTACAGAAAATAAGAAAGAAGAATATTTGGAATCTAACATTAAAATACAAAATAATTCATAATTAGTTTACCTTATTTAAGAAGTTTTTTTTTTTTTTTTTTTTTTTTTTTTTTTTTGGGAAAGCATAAGTCATAATTCATAATTCAAGGTAGAGATTTTCATACTTAGAGTCATGTCATCAATCCACAACTAATTAATTCCAAAAAATTTAAGTTAAAAATAGAATATATTCAATATGGGCAGATCTTTTTGAAACGCCCAAAATAGTATATGGACTAACATTATGAAACAAAGTATCTTCTAATGAACTTATGTGAAAAATTAGCTTGGCCCTTTTTATTAAGCTAAGGGGTCATACACTCTTACTTCATTGAGCTGTGAAGTACAATCAGGTGTAAGATACAAATTGCCCCCTCTGCACTTCTGCAGTGCACAAAAGACCAACCCAAGAGATATAAGCAGCAAAACTCCGTACATCTGTGAAATCATGCAGATTTGAAGGCAAGAATTTCTTGCAACATCCTCCAAATAGCTGGTGGTTGGTAGAAACTTGAAGATAATTATAGGCCTTATCCTGAAGCCCTCCATCGTAACATAGGAGATACGTAGTATTTTGTCATAAGACCAGGGCGCAACAAAGTAGGGTCATCTCCCCCTCAAGACCATAGTCCATCATACTCCGTAGTTTATTAGTGCAGCCAGGGACATCTGCAGCAGGAAATGGGAGAAAGGTTAGCTGATCGAAAAAATATTGTTAATCAGTTGATAGAAGGCACATTAGCAACTCTAACAAGTTATATATCAGCTAATTTAAGGTAGCTTGAGCTAGGTGTTTGCAAGGAGAATGACAGAAGTTAGCGCATTAGTATACAATAGCTTAACTTGGGTTCTCTAGGAACACAAAAGATCATATATGCTAATCTGCTGTAAACATTTACAGAGACAATACAAAATATTATAAGAATCCACTCTCCAAATATGACGTATTTTCAGCAGCAGCATCAACCTATAGCACTTTCTTTTACCATTTGGAGCGTTGGGAAAGTTGCCATGTATAT